GAGCACCAAAGAAAAGCACGGATCCCCAATGAGCACAAATCCACGATGAGCACGTATCCACGATGAGTACCGAGCACCAAAAGCACGGATCGACAATGAGCGCGTGATCATGCACCAAAGAAAAGCACGGATCCACGATGAGCACGAAAAGCACGTATCCACGACGAGCACCGAGCACCAAAAATGAGCAGCAAGTTCCCGTCGAGCACCAAAGGAGAGCACAGTCCGAGAGAGAGAGCCCTCGCGTGCCGTAGCGGCCGAGACGATTGAGAATCCCGCCCCTTCGAAGGGTGATTTCAGCGCTGGGCGCGGGCGCGCGTTCAGAAGGGCCGTTTGGGCGGGCCGAACCGGTATCGCACGGCCCAGATTGTGGGCCGGTCACCACCTGCGGACGGGCCAGATCGCAGGCCGATGAGAAAAGTTTCTCATCGGCCTGCGATCTGAACCGTCCGCAGGTGGTGACCGGCCCACAACCTGGGCCGTGCGATATGACGTTAGCGGTTCTTATAGTATTGTAGATGTGGATGTAGATGTGCATTCAGTTTGGTGCGGATACTGTTTTGCGGCTAAAAACATTTCGGTTTCTTTTTTAACGTTATATGGCTGGAACTAACCTACATTCCTGACTTGCTCCAGAAAATTTTGTCATTGGAAATAAGAATTAATGTTTAAAAATAAATTGGGGTGCTTGGAATGTTGAGCACCTCTTTGATACCCCCTTCGGGCCCCTTGCCTCCAGCAGGTCGAGCCTTTCATTTTGCAGCGTGTATACAGCCACCAGTCGCTGTTGAGGGGGGTTGTTATGGGTTGTTTAAGTCATATCTCACCATCTGATTCGGTTCTATGCTGGTATTCTAAATCTTGGCCACCAGAACATTTGCCTCACAAATCACACAATTATTGTTTGCCTCCAAGGTCTTTTGACTGATTGGGACACCTAATGACTGTTTCATTGGGGTCCAGGGCAATCGAAGACCATTTACCCGATGAGGCACTGCGCATGTACACGGAGGCAATCTCCATCTCGGAGGAGGAAGGCCGGGAACAGAGTGCTGGTGACGTCTTTCGTGCAGCAGTGACTTTGTATCTGAAGTTGGAAAGGTACGTAGTGACTGTGTATTGCACTCTTGTATAGGTTCAATGTATTTTCTCAAACTAAAGCCAACGTCACTCTGGTGGCTAATAGAGTCCTTTTGCCGGCATCTGGGTGCATTCCACGCTTCACACCTCCATCACGCTCGTCCGATACTTGGACGGTCAGTGGGTACCTGCCTTGTTCATTCACTTAGTCTCTGCTTGCAATTATTATGAATCGCTGACGCTGATTCTGTTTGGTTACCCGGTGTTGTGGCGCTCTCCTGTCATATACCGATGTGCATCCCGCCCTTGACTATTCAGGAGCAGTTGGTGCAAAAGAACATCCTGCCCCCACTTTGTTTGTTAAGTGGGATGCTCTGTTTCCATATCATATGTGATTTTGAGGATGTAAGTACGGGGATATATTTTGGCCCATGAGTAAAAACTGGGCAAGGATGGGAAGGAGGACAATGAGAAAGAATGATGGGCACAAGGAGAGAAAGAAGACAATTACTGGCGTTATTTGCTCAAGATATGGGAAGAAATCGTCCCGGCCAGATTTCACCAGCCAATAACGAGGGGGAAGTCCTCGCCAAGCATTCTTCTGCAACTAATGGATCAAAAGATGAAAGGGGCAAACCATGAGACCTGGGTGGCGCATGGAGTATGGCAGGTGAAACACCTGTGGTCGGAGGAAAAGCAACAGTGGAAGACGGCAAGGGAACGGAGTGGACGAGGCTGACACCACTGGCAAAGGGGAGATTGGGTAACATGGAAGCATGAAGAAGAACAAAGGGAAGCTTTCCGGGTCCAGCAGAGAGAGGGCCCAAGAAAGGACTGGTTGAGCATAGACATACGAAATAATGGAGCCAGGGGCCACAGCTAGCAAGCTCAACAGGGACTCAAGAACACAGGTGTCCATTAAAGAAGGGTGGGTCGGAAAGGTGACAGTGATGGAAACAGAAGATTTCACACCTACTGCCCTACAACACAGGTGGAGGAGTTGGAAATAGATCTGGTGGAATGGACATGGAACCTTAAGGGGTAAAGGTTGCATTGAGAACGAATATCTCCACTATACGACCAAGCTGGGCTGTCATCTCAGAATGCGTTCACAACTTCACACCCTCCAGAAGGACCTCTACGGAAGGAGGGGATGGGAATCACACCTGCACAGCCACAAGACTTCACTTGTTCCAAGTTGAGCTCTATCAGGCTAGGGAAAGTGAGAGGCATGCAGTGACTGATAACCTACATAGGACTACCAGTGAATGCATGGTCGAATGAATGAAGGAGCAAGGAGAGTTGGACGCCCCAACAGGAACCTTGCATGGTTTGTACCGACGGGGATAGATAGATAGATAGATAGATAGATAGAGAGAGAGAGAGAGAGAGAGAGAGAGAGAGAGAGAGAGAGAGAGAGAGAGAGAGAGAGAGAAGTAGTGA